TCTTGGCTTTAGGAAAATATCACATTTATCTGTGGATTGTCAAAGGCTCCAGTGTATTAATTTAATATATATACCTGAATATTAATATGAAAGCAATTTGCCATTAACTGCCAGTGGCCTCATTTGTTACACTCGGCCCTAGCGGGCCTCGAACCTCTGATTAGTCTTACATGGTCTGCAACAGGTACTTTCAAACTGCTGACCTTGAGATTAGCAATCCAATTCTGAACCACCAACCTTGAAGCTAGCACTCCAGTGGTTATCCTATATTACCACACTAGGTTATGATTTTAGAGCACAGTGTTGAAATAGATTCATTTATATTCATTCTCACCAAAGATGTACTGTAGGATAAGCAAAGTTTGAATCCACCAGATGCTCCGCAAGAGAAAGATGAGGATTTCTGCTCTGGTAAATATAACACATTTGTATTTAGAAGTCCCATACAAAGTCAACATGAGTTGGAACCAATTCAAGGGAATGTAACAACAAAAACACACTACAATGAACTGAATTATGAGTCTTCTCTCAAGGGCTTAGAGGCAAGGACTGAATAGATACACATACATCTAAGGTACTGAAGGAAGAATAGAATAAGGAGTAAATATAACAACATGATGGGAGTCCAGAAAGGGCATTTTCAAGAGGGACTATGTTTACGACAATGTGGAAAGCTCAGAGAAGTAAAGAAAAATAACTGAGAAAAATCCATTTACTATGATAATCATAGTCATTGGTGTTTGTTGAGAAAGCAGTCTTAACATCAAAGAAACAGGTGACCAGAGAATAGAGGAAAATGTAGCTTAATTTCTCTTTAAGTCTAATGATAAAGAAAAGGAGAGACAAGGTAGTTTGACATACATTAGAATGTTTAATACGGATATGTTACCATGGAAAAGCTTGATATTTTGGTAGGCCAATACGAAATGTGCAAAGATTTGGGAGTTAGAAGACCAAAAAGGAAGAAGATGCTCAGCATTTCTCAAGCTGAAAGAACTGAGGGAAAACTTCAGGCCTCTACTTGTTAATACTGATGGATTCTAGGAGCAAAATATTAAATGAGGCAGAAAACATCAAAAGAGGTTGGATAGACTATACAGACTCACTGTGCCAAAAAAAAAAAAAATAGGTCCATGTTCAACCATTTCAAGAGGTACCATAATGATCAAGAGCCACTGGTACTGAAGGAAGAAGTTTAAGGTGTACTAATGTCAGAAAAGAATAAGGCTCCGGGAATTGATGAAATACAAATGGAAATCTTTCAACAAACTGATGCAGCCATTGGAGGCACTCTTTCATCTACGCCAAAAAACTTGGAAGAGATTTCTGAATCTCTGACCAACGGATTGGAAGAGATCTATATTTGTGCCCATTCCAAAGAGCTGTGACCCAACAGAGTGTAAAAATCATTGGACAATATCATTAATATCAACTGCAAGCAAAATTTTGCAAAGGATAATTTAAAAAAAAATCTACAACAGTACATTAAAAAGTTGAATTCAGAGGAGGATGTGGAATGAGGGATATCACTGCTGATGTCAGATATATCTTGGCTGAAAGCCAAGAATATAAGAAAGATGTTTACTGTGCTCTATTGCGTAAGAAAGTCTTTCAATTAAGTACATCATAACAAGCTATAGACAACATTATGGAAAATGAGTTTTCCAGAACACTTAATAGTGTTCATGAAGTACCTGAACAGAGACCAAAGAGACACTAAATGGTTTAAAATTAGGAGCAGTGTGCACCAGGGTTGTATTCTTTCACCATACTTAATCAATTTGTATGCTGAGCAAATAATCTGAGTCGCTGGATTATATGAAGAAGAGTGTGGCATAAGGATTGGAGGAAGACTCGTTGACAACCTGCAATATGCAGATGATACAACCTTGCTTGCTGAAAGCAAAGAGGACTTAAAATACTTACTGATTAAGATCATCAACTGCACACTTCAATATGGGTTGCACCTCAAAATCCTGACCAATGGACCAATAAATACCATCATGATAAATGGAGAAAAGATTGAAGTTGTTAAAGACTCCATTTTGCTTAGATCCACAATCAACACTCATGAAAATACCAGTCAAGAAATCAAACGATGTATTGCATTAGGGAAACCTGCCGCACAAGACCTCTTTAAAGCGTTGAGGAGCAAAAATGTCAGTTTGAGGACTAAGGTGCATCTGACCCAAGACAAGGAATTTTCAATAGCTTCATATGTATGTGAAAGTTGCTGCATTTGAGTTATGGTGTACGTATTAAAAGTACCACAGACTGTCAGAAGAACAAACAAATCTACTGGGAGGAATACAGACAAAATGATCCTTAGAATCCAAGATGGCCAAACTTCTTCTTTCCAATTTTGAACATATTATCAGGAGGCGCCAGTTCTTGGAGAGGGATATCCTGCTCAGTAACATGGAGGGTCAGTGAAAAAGATAGAGACTCTGAATGAAATGGACTGACAAAGTGGCAGCAGCAATGGCCTCAAGCTTAACAGTGATTGTGAGGTTGATGCAGGACAAGACAGTTTTTCTGTTGTGCCTAAGTCGCTATGAGTCAGAACTGATTCAAAACAACAATATGATAGAATCAGTAGAGATGGCAAGATGAAGATAACATAGAGAACATGAAAGAAAATAAAACTAATATAGCAAAGTCCCTATGAAGTGGAATCTACTAAACCAATGTTCAATGTTAAAATTTTAGGTTTTTAAATGCTACTCATGTACTTTGGACATGTTACCAGGGGGGCCCAGACCGTGGATAAGGATATAATTTTTGGTAAAGATGAGAGCTAGTGAGAGAGAGAAAGATCCTTAATGAGATGGACAGACACAGTGGGTTCAAATATAGCAACAATATGAGGATGTCAAAAGGACTGGGCTGGGTTTCTATTGTACAAAAGGGTGAATATGAGTTGGAATTGACTTGAGGGCACCAAATGACAACAAATCTGAGGGTGTATCATTTGTTGACATTGTATAATATCACATCTTTTTATTTTTTTAAAAGATGGCAGTAACTACCACAGAGTTTTAACTAAATCTGCTGAGAGTGATGATATACTCTTTTTAGAGGATGCCTTAAGCAAAGAAACATATTTTTATATAACACCCAATTACCATTTAATCAATTCAGATTCAACTCTATATAGGGTTTTCAAGTTTCTAAATCTTTATGGGTACAGATTTTTTTATCTTGCTCCTGTGGAACAGCTGTTGGGTTTGAACCACTGACCTTACAGTTAGAATCCCAACATCTGATCTACCATGTCACCAGTGCTCCTTTTGTTTAATACAGATAGAGGTAGTTTCCATTTCTACCTGATCATTCCACGTGAAATCAGGAGAGATGCTGAGTCTCACTCGGAGGACAGTTCGTGTGATTGGTTGAATGGATGCTTCCATCAAAACAGATGGAATCTGATGAACACACTGTTTGACCTTCAGTCCAATATTCACGTGATGCAGTATGTGACCTGAAAGGAAAATATCACATAGAAGAAATGTGTCCAGACAGAAGAAAAACAATATAATCTGACTAGCAAATGGAATTTCAGAGAAGATGATTTTATTACTTGTTTTATGATTTGCTATGTAGAATAGCTGACATTCTTGACCTGACATGTTTGAATATTTTGTAATAGTTAACCTGAATTAGCAATTTATACCTCTGAAAACCAGCAGCAAGGTTTCTTTGGCTATTACTAAGGTTCTTAAAATTACTGAGACTTGACAGTGTTTAAACTACTATAAACAGATAAACTTTTTCTAACTAGCTCATAATACTTTACAGAAATATTTAGTATTTTGTGAAAACAGTCCCTTTACTCTGAGTCTACTTAAGAGTTCTATAACCATGTGGGAAGTGCTACAGTAATCAAATGCAACTCATCCATTCACCGTCATTCCCAAAAAAACATAAAGATAAAATACAAACATGGTCAATAAGACACAAAATCAATCGCTTACATATATTTTAATAAGTGGTCAGGTTCTTGGATATAGATATGCATGGGAGTGCCAAGGAGCAAAGAACAAAAGACTGTGACTAATTACAAACATTTTACTACTTTAGTCAGAACTGAGTGAAAATAGATTGCATCTCATAGCACCAAGACTTCCTGTATGTTTTATTTTCTCCAAACAAAACATATATACATAAAAGTACTTATGAGTAAATACAGATGTGTTATATTTACCCATATTTGAAAATTTGAAAATTGCCTTCCTGACTTTGATAAAAAATATTTATTATATGTTACCTCTATGTGAGTGCCCTCAACTACCCATGTTGCTACTTTCAATTTCTCTATTTTACTGATACTTCCCTTTCTTCCATCCTCTGTTGGTGGTGGTAGTTATGTGCCGTGGAGTCGGTTCTGACTCATAGGGACCCTGAACAGGGTTTCTGAGGATGGAAATCGTTACAGGAGCAGAAAACTTCATCTTTCTCCTGCAGAACAGCTGGTAGTTTCGAACTGCTGACCTTGCGGTTCGTAGCCCATCCTATATTAAGGGGAGGAAAAGTATACTTCCTCTACAAGGGTAATAACTACCTCCGCCTCCCTTCACATCTTGAGACCTTCTGCTAGCAGGAACCTACCCTTTCCTTTCTTACTAGCTTAACTAGATTACATATTCAATGAATGTTAAATCTATTATAGATTCAACATCCATTGAGTACCGAAAACTGGATTATTCAAGATATATGGAAATCTGTGTAGTATTACATTACAGAAGCAGAATACCAAATGTTATATACACAATGACACCAATTGGGTTTAAAGATGTATGTTGATGTGCAATGATAAAGCTCCTTTAGAATTTCTACAGATATGCAGAATGCTCATATTTTCTTAAGCTGCAATATGGCTGATACACATAATAGACTTTGAAATCAATTAAATATTTAAAAAGAAGTTGAGAATAGACCTCATTAAATAATTCTTCATATCTAAGTTTCTGGTATCTAAGTTTCTATCTGGAAAATATTCAACTTTAGGGTTAGACAATTTAAACTCCATTTTAACTGCTAATTCAAGTAACTTCATAAAATTTGGAGGGATCTTGCGTCAGCCTGCAAAGTTGCATTAACTGCAAGGTCGGTGGTTCAAGCTCACCAGCTGCTCTTTGGAAACCCTACACCGGGTTGCTATGGGTCAGAATCCACTTGACGGCACTTAACAACAAAACAAAATGTTTGAAGTTAGATAAATTTAAAAAATAATAAATTAACATGGTAGAAATTTATCCAAGTAATATGAAAAGTCATAATACAATGTTTTCTACATCCAGTACAATGTTTTATTTGCACAGAGCAACACATTCAAACAATTTTGTTTTTTTTCTTACCTATTTCATCTTTCCTCATGTCTTTCAGCTTATCCACACTAAGTTTTTTTTCTTCTAATCTTGTAAGAATGTGTGGTGGTAAGACTGAAAATTGTCTCAAAGGGCTAGCCCAAGCCCAAAGCCTCTTGTCGATGACTTTACTAAGATTCAGGAGTCTGTAGGTCATGGTAGGCCAACGTTTCCTCAGAGCAATTTCAAAAAGAGCACGGACAATTCTACCAGCATTCTGAAGAATAAGAAGAAGGATTGATGGTTAGGCCCAATGTACTTTTAAATTTTTCAATAACTTTATGATTTAGACTCAGTTTCAAACAAAGTATAAATCAAGTTTCATCTGTTAATTTCGGGGCAACACTTATTCTCACATGCTACTTATTATTGCTATTCATGATCCTTATTATTTCTATATAAGAATAATCACATCTTTACACATGGATATTACCATTTCACTCTCAGAAGATAGGCTTATTTACAACTTCTTAGGAAGCTCCACTCTTAAACTCTCTAAAAAGGAATGAAGTATGAAGACAGGAGGCATGTATGCAGAGGACTGTAAGCAGGGACACAGCATAATGCTTACATTTAAGCAGCTATTAGAGGAGAAATCAGGACGATTTGGGGATCTAGTCAGGAAGAAAAACTAGTGTGCTAAGGATGACAAAGGAAATGATGGCAAGTGCAAATATCCATATTAAAGGTTCCCACCTAACGGGACTGGTATAGATGCCATGATTTTAAAGATGAAGACACTAAAGCATGGAATGGTTAATAAATCGATAGTTTAGTGTCAAAGTATCAATTCAAAGTCAGGTATAATGACTCTAAAGCTAAACTCTAAGACCCTAATATCAGTGTGTATAGTCAACAGACATTTAGAAAGTTAACCAAGTTTTTACATCTCTATAACTAGTTCCCATTTACTTTGGTTCCTTCCCTCTAAAATGAACTTGCTTTATTGAATATCATTTTAAAGATTATGAACTTAAAAGACACTTTCCAATTTCTAGTGAAATCTGTATCTGAAGATGAAGGGTCAAAATTGCAAAAAAAAAAGATGACAAAGAGCAAGGATTTCACATGACAAACAGAAAATCCACCTAAAACTAAGAGGTCAAAAATGAATATATGGGGGAAAAAAATGAATATATGGGCTTATATGTTTATATTTTTTATTATAAAATGTTTGTCTTTGGACAAATTTGACTATTTTGTTTCAGTACTAGACACTTCAGAACAAAAACTGTATTTAGTGAACTGAAGGGCAGTCTGAAATCTATTAGGCATGCTAGGATGGACATTATTAAAGACCACAGAATGATAAATACATAAAATGAACATTTTTATTGTACCTATGAAATAGGCCTTTATACATTATTTTTATTTGTGTTTATGGGAAACTGCGACTTTTCACAACTGACTTTAAATGTATGCTACTTTTATATTTCAGAAGCCAGAGTTCATTCAAAGCTAAAACAAACAAAGAATGACTCCACATGATAAAATACAAACATGGTATATTTTAACTTGGAATGATAATGGGTGGGGCTAATGATCAAAAGTCTCACTCACAGGGTAGAGAGAAGCTAATAAAGCCTTGTTTATAAAATGCTAGTTTACTTGAGCTAAGGATTTATCTTAGGTGTTGACAGAAACAAAATTTAAGGAACTACCATTTTCAATCCTGAGAAAATGCTCAATGGCGTAAATTAAAAATTTTTTTTTAATTTAAGCATTGTTGTTGTTAAGTGCCGTCAAGTCGGTTCCGACCCATAGTGACCCTGCACAGGGTTTCCAAGGCTGTAAATCTTTATGGGAGCAGAAAGCCTCATCTTTCTCCAGCAGAGCAGCTGGTAGTTTCGAACTGCTGACCGTGAGGTTCACAGCCCGATTCGTAACCACTATGCTACTAGAGCTCCTTATCTAATGCATTAGAGGCTGAAATATTTATTTAAAAAAGTAGGGATGCTTTGAGGTATACATTTAAATCTTTAGAAGCTGACATTCTAGGTACCAGTCATGAAGAGTCATGTAGAGAAAATTTTAGGGATCACATTAGAAGGCCCAATATAATAGTGGCAGTAATGGCAGAAAATGTAGACCAAGATTCAAAATTACAAAAAAAAAAAAAAAAAGACTATGGTAACTGGTCAGAGAAAGACTGGAGGAGCCTGAGACTATGGCCCTCAACCACCATTCAGATCTGGGATGAAATTCACCCTCATGGCCCAATCTTCACCCAAATAGTAGATAAGTGCATAGGGAATGGTCAATCATTCAAAATCAAAAGGGACATACTTATTTCAGGACAAAGTTGATATGGGCTGGGAAGGAAGTGGAATAGATATAGGAACCAAAGGGTGGAAGCTAGATAAATGGTGTTGCATGGAGGGGATTGCAATCACTGACATGAAATACTGTATGATTTGTCGAATGTACAACTGATGATCTTCTCTGTAAATATTCACTCAATGCACAATAAAAAGTTAAAAAACATACCAGCTGGTCCTCAGAAATCCTATACAGGGTTGTTATGAGTCAGAACCAACTGGATGGCACTTAACAACATCGTTCACATTATATAACATATGAAATCATGACCTGGTTTTTTTTTGGTTAGTTTGGTTAATTACTGCATTAGTTTAAATAGTTCATGGCTACAAATATTTCAATATTTACAACGATTTCAAAGGAGACCTTGTTGCTCAGTGTTTAAGTTAAAGCCTTAGGCTGATAACCAGAAGGTAGGAGTATTTCAAAGAACTTCTGAGTAATCAAAGCTATTACTAACAATTTAATGTAAACATATTCCTTGAAAAAAAATTATAAACATAAAATACAAAATATTAAGCCTTAACTTCTCAAGTCAAAGAAGTATTAAATCCACTGCTGTAGAATCAATTCCAAGCCACAGTGACTTTATAAGACAGAGTAGAACCACAGGTTTCCAAGACGGTAGTCTTTATGGAAGTTGATTGCCACATCTTTCTTGCTCAGAGCAGCAGGGAGTTTGAATCTCTTACCTTCTGGGTAGCAGCCAGGCACCTAACCACTTAAAGGAGGTATTTCTTAATGAAAACTCATTTTTTTTTTAAATGTTTTATTGTGAATAATGTGATCGTTTACATGGGAGAACATTAGTTTTACATTCATCCTATTGTATATTGTTTCATTGCCATGGTTACAATCCCCTCCATGCATCAAGAAAACTAATTTTTAAAAGGTGTTTTTAACAGGTAAAGAACATAGTATTTTAAAGATTTCTTGAAGGGAAACCTTTCATTTGAATGATAAATTGGGCAGAAAATGGTGCATTATTTTACATGAAGACCTGGATATAAAAACATAAACATTACATCATTTTATATAATGACATTTTTTAGAATTTATAAATTTAACAAATTGCAGTTTAAGGAACATATTTCTTTCAATCCTCAATTACCATATATCAACAAGAAGGGTAAACAATACACTTTTTATCAGAGCCAAATCATGCAAAATATACTGTATGCGATGTATTTTTTATACCTGATTTAATGGTAAAAAGATTTATTCTACTTCCTAACAATTTTTGGGAAGCTATAAAAATTTTACATGGCTTTCTTTTGCCTTGAAATATTCTTGCATCATTGCCCATTTAAAGCACATAAATTGAATTTTGTCATTAAAAAAAATTCAGGTATCTTATACTTGTAGATAAGTGTCTTCAAGTTGGTTCCAACTTATATCAACCCTGTAAAGGGTTTCCTAGAAGTGGCTGGTGGCTTTGAACTGCCACCTTGCATTTCAAATAGGCCTTGTCTTCTGGTGCTTATCCTTAAGCAACAGGAACTTAAGAATACTTGATATTATAGAATTCTACAATGAAAACAGTAGTTACATCAAAACAACTACCAAATCACATCCCAAAGCTGATTTAATAGCATGGCAGCAGTTGTTATGTGCTGTGGAGTTGGTTCAGACTCACAGAGACACTGTATAGAGGTTTCAAGTTTGTAAATCTTTACGGAGCAGTAAGTCTCATCTTTGTCTGTGGAACAGCTGGGAGTTTTGAACTGCTGATATTGAGGTAGCAGCCCAACTCATAACCATTATGCTACTAGAGTTCCTTGATTTAATAACTTAGACAAAGATGTTGTTGCTGTTGTTAAGTGCTGTCAAGTTGGTTCTGACTGACAGTGACCAAGAAGTGGCTTGTGAGTTTGAACTCCCTACCTTACAGTTCAAACTGACTTGTGGTCCAGTGCATATCATACAGCGCCATACCAGGACGCCTTAGAAAATTAAATGAAGCCAGTTCTAAGATAAATAGGTATATTGATGGCACATCACAAGTGCAGCCTATTTAACATACAATATTATATCAGCTATTTCCATGAGTCCCTGGAAATTAATGAAGAATAGAAAACAGGAAGGAAGGAGGATTCTTACTTGTGCAACATACGCAGAATCTGATATCAGAGAAAAACTGTCCATTTCTCCTCGGCTGATGTAAGTTTGAAGTAGGATGTTTATTTTTCCATAATTGTTCTCAACTCCCCCAGGAGCGGAGAGTTCACAGAAATTGTTCAATAAAGTATCTAACTCCTCTATTTCTTCTTCTCTGACCTAGAAGAATCAACATTTTTACCAGAATATTTAGACAGATTTATAAAATTTTTTCATATTGACATCAAACTACATTCCAAGTTTTTAGAAGTGACAGTATGCTATAACTCAACATCTTCCTTTTATGTAGGTAACTAACAGTATTTTCATGTTGCTAACAAAATACAATATGAAAACTATCTTGAGACTGATACAATTACATTTTATTATTCATCACCAATATTAAAGCTGCCATTGACATACAAAAATTTGATATGCCACAAAAATTAAATCCCTGACCTCACCATCCTTCAACTGATGAGATTTCATTTTTTATTTGACCAAAGTAAAACCTGTGCCCAAAAGGATTAGGGCAAACTTGAATTACTCTCAAATGCATTCATTACAGTCATATATTGTTATACGGTATAACACATGCATAGCTTAAAACTGTGAAGTACTATAATTCAAAGTATTAAAGTTTTTACTGTTAATAAGATTAAATTATAACACTGGTACAGAAATATTCACACCTAAGTCTGAATTATGCATGTCCTTCATAGTCTCTTTAGTGAACCTTATATATTGCAAATAAACCAAAATGTGCACACTATATTCCCAAGTCTCATTATTGCAAAACATATTTACATTATATTTGATTTGGAAAACAGAATGTCAGATAAAATAAATATCATAATCCAGGAAAGAAGATACTGTTGATAAACGTAGAACACTCCTGATACTTAAATGCAAAGTGTCATGCACTTTAAATTGCATCAGGAATAACAATAAGATTTTATATTTATACATGTATGAATACATATGTGTTATAAGCATGCATTTGATCCAGGTTTCAAATAATCTTACCTTGATTTGATCAAATTCTTCAGCTTTGGAGACTATGGCAAAGATATCACCTTCTGTTTTGTGCGCATCAAAATTTTCATTAAAAGTCTACAAGTAAGTATTACATTCAATTAAAATATAGTCCAACAAAATACTGTAAATTAAAAATGTGACTATAAACCACACATTACTAAAGAATATGTGATCCTTTGACAATGGAGTTACAAAGTCTATAGCATACTGTCCCCAACTGTTGGTTCAAAAACATCATCAGACTTACCAAAGTAGGACTGAAAAACATTAATAAAACATAATTAGCTAGAAAAGATCTTTAGAATAAAAAAGATAAACCACATCAGCTAATAAAGTCAACTTTTGTTGTGCCAGCAAGTTGGGTCCAACTTGCAGGGACCATATGCACAAGAACAAAAACACTGCCGGATCCTGCGCCATCTTTATAACTGATGTTACATTTGAGCCCACCGCTGCTACCACAGTGCCAAACCATTTCATTGGAGGAGTTTCCTCGTTTTAGACGACTCTCCAGTTTATCAAGCATTCTTCATAAGACACTGGTTCTCTCCTGATAATAAGTCCAAAATAGGAGAGATAGGGTCTTACCATCCATGCTTCTAAAGAACATTATGGCTTTACTACCTCCAACACAGATTTCTGTGTTCTACTGGCAGTCTATGATACTTTTAATATTCTTCTCTAACACCATAACTCAAATGCATCAATTCTTCAACGGTCTTCCTTATTCACTCTCCAACTTTCACATGTATATGAGATCATTGAGAACACCATGGCTTGGGTCAGGCACACCTTAGTCTTGAAACTGACATGTTTGCTCTTGAACACTTCAAAGAGTCCTGTGCAACAGATTTGCCCAATGCAATATATTGTTCAATTTCTTGCCTGCTGCTTCTATGGGTGTTGATTGTGGATCCAAGCAAAATGAAGTCTTTGACAATTTCAATCTTTTCTCCATTTATTAAGAAGCTATTTTTTGGGGCCAGTTGTGAGGCTATTGGTTTTCTTTGAATTGAGGTGTAACCAATACTGAGGATTGTAGTTGTTTGTATCATCTGTATTATCATAGGTTGTTAATTAGTCTTCCTCCAATCCTGATGTCACATTCTTCTTCATATAATTCAGTGTCTGGGATTAAATATATATGACAAAAGGATACAATCCTGGTGCACACTTTTTCTGATTTTAAACCATTAATATCCCCTTATTCTGTTCTAACAATTGCCTCTTGGTCTATGTACAGGTTCTTCATTAGCACAATTAAGTGTTCTGTAATACCCATTCTTCTCAATGTTATCTACAGTTTGCCACGATCTATATAGTTGAAAAGGAGCTCTGGTAGCGTAGTGGTTACAAATTGGGCTGTGAACTGCAAGGTCAGCAGTTCGAAACTACCGGCTGTTCCGAGGGGGGAAAGATGATGCTTTCTGCTCCCATAAAGATTTACAGCCTCGGAAACCCTGTACAGGGTCGCTGTAAGTCGGAACTGACTCCACGGCACAGAACCACCACCACCATATAGTTGACGGAGTCTTGGTATGGAGCTGTGGGTTGATGTGCCAGACTGCAAAGCCATTTGAACTGCAAAGTTGGTGGTTCAAGTTCCCCAGCCACTCCTCTGAAACCCTATACAGGGAAGCTACAGGTCAGAACCAACTCAATGGCAATGAACAATAACAACACATAGTTGAAAGTCTGGGACCATACTTTGTCATGATCTATATAGTTGAAAGTCTTTGCATAGTCAATAAAGCAAAAATAAACATCGTTCTGGTATTCTCTGCCTTCAGCCAAGGTCCATCTGACATCAGCAAAAAAGTCCCTAGTTCTAGGTCCTCTTCTGAACCTGGCTTGAATTTCTGGAAATTCTCTGTTTTGAATTTGAATTGGCTGGAAATTATACTGTTGTACTATATAAACATAAGGTTTATTTGGAGAAAAGGTGAGGAAAATCTAGCAACCACAGGAAGGGAAGGTGTTTTCTGAAACACGATGCTATTGATGTCCAGTTGATTCCAACTCATGTCAGCTCAAGGTCTGACAGAGCAAAACTCCACAGGGCTTCTCTGGCTGTAATCTTCAAGGAAGCAAACTGCCAGATTTTATTCTGCAGCACCACAGAATGGGGTTAAGCCCCCAGCTTTTATCTTAGCAGTCGTGTGCACACTGTTTACACCACCTATCTAGATCTCATGGTGGTCTAGGGATGTGAATTTCAAAAGAACTCTCATTTGAGTCAGTTCCATTCCTTCTTTTATTTAAAAATAATTTTGAGACAAACATTACATTTTCTTTTTATAAAATAGTAAAACGTTAAAATCCATTTAGCCCATTTCCTACCTTATCTATAGTTTTCAAATTTTGTATATCAGCACATATAGGGACATACATGTGAAAACATGGATGCAGTTTTAGAAATGTAAAGTATGGCAATCTGTTTCTATAAAGATTTATTTATAACACTAGATAAAGG